TCCATACACTCATGGCTTGTTTGAAATATACATCGCTTTCCCTGGGCAGCTGAAGTAATTTCTCAGTCTTGACTCCCCAGCAGTAAAATGTGCTGGGAACAGATGTCTCCAAATCTGTTTGTGTCACTGTCTCAGATTCCAAGGAAGGCCCAACTTACATGTACCAGGCACTTACCATGCCTTATCCCTCTGTCCTCACAACATCCTTCTAGAGTAGTGTCAGACCTTCTTCACGAGGAAAAAAAAAAGCCCATAGATGCTGAGTAACTTACCCAAAGTTGCGCCATCAATAAATAGGAGAGCTAGAAACATGAACCATCAGGGTAGGAGTTTGTCTTATTTATCTTCACGATTCCAGCAGCTGGCACTTGAATAATGAGATATTATCTGAACCCAGTTCTTCTCATTCCAAACTTTGCCACCGTACTTCCCTGCTGTACCGGGACTTATGCCAGCAAATAGAAGTGGCCTTGCTCTCAGAGGTTGAGCATCTAGTCACCATGTCCTTGCTCAAACTGCAAACTGGCCTTGCCCCACTTTGTATATACGTGGCTACCAGAACATTCAAAATCCTTAATCTAACTAACGTGGGTTCACTTGAGTGTCATATAGCACAAAATACGCAAGGAAATGAAGAACACAACGGGATGGTCCATGCAGCCTAGCGCAAGTGTCAAATGAGAAGGAATTCCGAACAAGAGGGCCTTCTGCCTGACGACACCCTTGCTGGGGCAGGACCATTCACTTCTGAAGCTTCCTTTCCAGCTCTTTGGAGAAGTAGCGAAGTCTCTTAATTATATTCATGTGCCATGCCACTCGGCTCTCCACTCCAACTCACTGCTGGGGAAGAGAAGAAAAGATAACTGGCATATTGGAGATGAACAACGAAAGCTCTTCCCCTCAACTGTCAGGGAGTCCTGAGGTGCTTGGAGGCAGGAAGGTGAACTGATAACCCTCTCAGGTCCCTAGGACTTTAATTCAAGTAAAGCAGGATCCAGGTTCTGGCTTAATAGGATAATTGAAGTAGTTCGGACTTGACCTGAGTGGGGACACTGGGAAGTGATTCCAAGGAAGGTGACCGTTGCCAGACATTCTTCGATGTTCACCAACTGGTCTGTTTACCTGAGCTTTGAGAGTTCAGTTTTCTCCGGAGGGACTGTCAGGTCAAATCCTCATTCTCTGCATACAGGTCCTCATCCTGAAATTCTAGTCTCTTGGACTTGAAACTCCTGGGAAATGTAAAGAAAAGGTAGATTTGAGAAATGAATGCCAAAAGAAGAGAGGAAGAATGTTCAAGAAGAGAAACTAGATCACTCTCTGAGGCATGTTTTCTTTTAATCAGGAAATGAAAACTGAGGCAATTATATGTTGAGGGGATAATTTTCTTTCATTTCTTGCTTTTTTTTTCCAGGTGTTCTTGTTGCAGTTAAATGAATCAGACAATTTCATGAACTGGCCCATTTCCTTTGTCTGTATGAACCTAAGGCATTTTCTCATTATTTATTTTTGTTTTGTGTTTAGAAATGGAGTTTTCTCTGTCTCCCAGGCTGGAGTACAGTGGTGTGATTATAGCCCACTATAATCTTGAACTCCTAGGCTCAAGCAATCCTCTCACCTCAGCCTTTCAAAAATTTTAAATTTTTATTTCAACAGTTTTTGGTTACATGGAAAGTTGTTTTTTGTGATTTCTGGGAATTCGGTGGACGCACCACCTGAGCAGTATGTACTGTACCTGATCTGTAGCCTTTTTGTTTGTTTGTTTTTGTTTAGAGGCAGAGTCTCACTCCATCACCCAGGCTGGAGTGCAGTAGTGCAATCTTGGCCCACTGCAACCTCCACCTCCCAGGTTCAAGCGATTCTCATGCCTCAGCCTCCTGAGTAGCTGGGATTACAGGCATTGTGCCACCACACCGCCTAATTTTTGTATTTTTAGTAGAGACGGGATTTCACCGTGTTGGCCAGGCTGGACTCGACTCCTGACCTCGTGATCCACCCACCTTGGCCTCCCAAAGGGATTACAGGCGTGAGCCACGGCACCTGGCCCAATATGTGGTCTTTTATCCCTCACCCTTCTCCTCTCCTTCCCCACACACCCCCAGTCCCCAGAGTCCACTATATCATTATTATGTCTTTGTATCCTCGTAGCTTAGCTCCCACTTATAAATGAAAACATACGATGTTTAGAATTCCATTCCTGAGTTACTTCACTGAGAATAATGGGCTCTAGTTTCATCCAAGTTGCTGCAAAAGACGTTATTTCATTCCTTTATATGGCTGAGTAGTATTCCTTGGCATATATATACCACATTTTCTTATCCACTAATTAGTTAATGGGCACTCGGGTTGGCCCCATATTTTTGCAATTGTAACTTTGCTGCTATAAACATGTATACACATGTGTCTTTTTCTTTCTTTCTTTTTTTGAGATGGAGTTTCACTTTTGTTTCTCAGCCTGGAGTGCAGTGGTGAGATCTTGGCTCACTGCAACCTCCACCTCCTGGGTTCAAGTGATTCTCTTGCTTCAGCCTCTCGAGTAGCTGGGATTACAGGCATGCACCACCATGCCCAGTTAATTTTTGTATTTTTAGTAGAGACAGGGGTTTTGCCATGTTGGTCAGGCTGGTCTCGAACTCCTGACCTCAGGTGATCTACCCGCTTTGATCTCCCAAAGTGCTGGGATTACAGGCATGAGTCACTGCACCCGGCCGCACATGTCTCTTTTATATAATTACTTCTTTTCCTTTGAGTAGATACCCAGCAGCGGGATTGCTGGATCGAACGGTAGTTTTGGCTCTACTTCTAATTCCTTAAGGAATCTCCATTACTGTTTTTCACAGTGGTTGTACTAGTTTACATTCCCACCAGCAGTTTTAGACCTGTTCCCTTTTGGCACATCCATGCCAACATCTATTATTTTTTGACTTTTTAAAATTATGGGAATCCTTGCAAGAGTAAGATGGTATCTTATTGTGGTTTCAATGTACATGTCTCTGATAGTTAGTGATGTTGAACATTTTTTCATAATTTTGTTGACTATATATCCTTTTTTGAAAATTGTCTACTCATGTCCTTTTGCTCGCTTTTTAATGGGATTGTTTTTATCTTGCTGGTCTGTTTGAATTCCTTGTAGATTCTGGACACTAGTCCTTTGTCAGATGCACAGTTTGTGAATATTTTCTCCCACTGTGTGGGTTGTCTGTTTACTCTGCTGATTATTTCTTTTGCTGTGCAGAAGCTTCTTAGTTTAATTAGGTCCCATTTATTTATTTTCATTTTTGTTGCATTTGCTTTTGGGGTCTTAGTGATGAATTCTTTGCCTAAGCTAATGTCTAGAAGAGTTTTTCTGATGTTATCTTCTAGAATTTTTATGGTTTCAGGTCTTAGATTTAAGTCTTTGATCCATCTTGAGTTGATTTTTTGCATTTAAGTCTTTGATCCATCTTGAGTTGATCCTTGAGACAAGGATCCAGTTTCATTCTACACGTCTGCTTCAGCCTTTTGAGTAGCTGAGACTACAGGTGTGTACCAACACGTCCGACTAATTTAAAAATATTTATTTATTTATTTATTTATTTATTTATTTATTTATAGAGATGAGGTCTTGCTATGTTGGTCCAATCTCTAGCTCCTGGCCTCAAGTAATCCTTTCTCCTCTTTCTCCCAAAGTGCTGGGATTAAAGGTGTGAGCCACCGAGCCTGGCCTGTTCTTATTGTTGAATCTATAAAGTCCTAGACGTGGGCTCAGTCTTAGGGAGTAGTGCAGGGCTAAGACCAGAATCTAGATCTCCTCACCCAAGTCCTGGCTCTCAACTACCCCTCAGGGGCCTCTGCCCTTCTGTGGAAGAGAAGTTCCAGTTCCATGACAGGCAACTTGTCAGGATCAGCATCCAGAAACGGACCCACCATCAGTGACTCTTTGACAACTGTATTCTTAATTCAAGGTTCACTTAGCATAGGTCTCATAACTGCTTCACTCCGAGCTGGCCTGCTGACCTGCAGTTTAAAGAGAAAGGACGCTATGGCCAGGATGCTCAGTGCCACAAGAGAAGTCAGGGAATCACAGAACCTTACAGCCAGAACAGACCCCGGAGAGTTGAAGGTCTACTCTCCTTTCAGAAAGAGAAGCTAAGGCTCAGAGCAGGGAAGTGGCTTGTCCAGGGTCACACAGCTGAGCAAAGTGACAAACCCGGACTTGGAGCCAGCCTGCAGGTCAGCAGTCGGCTGCTCTTCCCACCTCAACCTGCTTGCCTCTTTCTTAAAGAAAAAGAAAGGGAAGGTGTTTCAGTAGTGAGTGTGGGAGGGCCACTCACTTCACCATGGCTAGGAAGCATCTCTCCATCCCACCTGTCGCTCGGCGGCGTGGCAGAACTGTCAGGGCCCATCTGACCTCCTGGGTTTTAGTGTCTCCTCTCAGCTTGGGCTTAAAGGGATTTTATTAACCGTGATTAGTATCAAAGGATCCAAAGCTGCACCCACTTGTTAATTCTGAGGAATTTTAAAATGCGGGATTAAAAAAAATTAATTTCACGCATAGGTATGAACAGCCCCTCATCATCCCGGTTAAAGGATGAACCACTCTCATTCCCGGTAGAGGCAGGTGAGTGTGTCCAGCGCCCCTCAGGGAACGACGTTCTGATGCCAAACCCTCTGCTCCTCCGGGTCACTTCTCGGATCGTTTTGCTTCTTCTCCTCTGCTTCCACAGTTGCAAACCTCGAAGTGCCACGACCCCTGGGGAAACTCAATCTTAAGTCCCATGGCCAAACGCTCCAGCCCGCGGGCTCCCGGGACGCGACAGCGATCGGATTTCGCGTGGCCGCCCTGCTCCCCCTACTCCAGTCCCCTCCCGCCAGGGAACACCCGGAGCCAATCAGAGCGTCGGGGAGCTCGGGGTTGTAGAGTCCCGAGCCCGGGACCCGCCCCTCTTTGTTGCGGTGGCCAATGGACGCATTCAGAACATCGGCGGCTGCCCGGGTGACTCGGTTATATGTCACAGAATAACATTCGAGAATGGGACATGGAATGAGGCGACGGCCGCAGCAAACCCCAGCAGCCCCAGCCCCAGTCCTAGGCCCAGCAGCAGCGGAAGCCTCAGCCGCAGCCCCCGCTGTCCCGCCGCCCGGAGAGGCTCTGCAGCCATGAAGCGGACCGTCCCGAGGTAGGGTCCCGGAGCTGCCGCGCGCCCTTCCCGCGCCCCGCCCGCCTGCAGCCAGTCCCTCTCGGTGCTAGACGCTGGAACTCGGGTAAAAGGGGGCGGGTGGAGCTCTTTCCACTAGAACTCCTCCAGGTCCGGGAGGGCTTCCTGGAAGAAAGCGGGCCGCCTTGCAAGCCGAGGCTGCTGCAGCGCCCTCGCTCCAGCCCAGGGCGCTCACGTGCCGGCACGTTCATGGCTCCGCTCCTCTATCGACCACAGCTGGGGGACCGAGGAATGTGTGGAGCCTTGCGGGAACCTCCTGTTCCTTCACGCTACACGAGCTGTCTTTCTTCTCCCCACACAGTGCACTCCGCATCCTCCACGCTCCTTGCGCCCCCTCCATCCCCATCCCCCGGCCGCGGTTTAGGTGTGTAAGAAGCTTCGTGGCACGTTTTGGGCTGCCTTTCTAGGTAGTCGCCGAGCTGGAAGCCCGTTAGCGATTCCCAGAGAGGCTGTCAGCGTGCATGGGGGAGCGCAGGGGAGACACTCTGGGGCCCCTTACTCGGTTCCTCTGTGTGTCCACTTAGCCGTGGTGTCAGCTGTGTCTCCGCTGATTTCAGGCACCGCCGGTAGGCAGGGAGCCTCCGCGGAGCTCCCGCCGCCGCTCCCCCTTGGCGCGTCCTGCCGCAGCGAAAGGCATGGAGAAGGCCGCCCCCGCGGGGCGCTGATTCCCGCGCCGCGCCCGCGCGCACACGCCCCCCGCAGCAGCAGCCGCCGCGCGCCCCCAGCACCTCGCTCCCCGCCCAGGCCCCACCATGACCGGCTCCGCGGCCGACACTCATCGCTGCCCCCACCCCAAAGGCGCCAAAGGCACCCGGTCCCGGAGCAGCCACGCGCGGCCCGTGAGCCTCACCACCAGCGGGGGCTCGGAGGAGGAGGACAAAGACGGTGGGGTGCTGTTCCACGTTAACAAGAGCGGCTTCCCCATCGACAGCCACACCTGGGAGCGCATGTGGATGCACGTGGCCAAGGTGCACCCCAAGGGGGGAGAAATGGTGGGCGCCATCAGGAATGCCACCTTCTTGGCAAAGGTCAGTGGCTTCCAGGACGGGGTTGGGGGGCTGGGGGTAAGTGGGCAGCGATGGGACCGTTTCAGCCTATACATAGCAAATAGAGGCAATCTCCATTTTCCTGGTCCTGCTACAAACTCCGGTCCTCTCCCCATTCCTTCCTGCCAGCCCTTTTCTAATTGAGATGTTTACCTTGGAAGGCTAAAAAATGGGGAAAGGAGAGGTAGCGGGCGTGCTATCCTGGGACCGTGTAATTGGGTTGTGCCAAGATGTCTTTGAACCTCCAGCCAAACTCTATTATTTACTCACTCCCAGGTACATCCTCCTTCAGCAAAAGCTAGAGCCACCAGGTACCAGCGATTCCAAAGAATACATAGACCCCAGGGATCCCACCTTGCATGTTCTCTTTGGAGTGTCTTGCTCCTTTTCTGCTCCCCTCTTCCCCCAGCAAATGATTTATTAAGCTGTGAATGAATTTGAAGTCAACCAGACAGACTTCTCAGTGTGAATCATTTCCAGACTTTTTGCCAATTTTTTTCTTCTTTTTTCATGACAGTGACTTTCACCTCTGAAACTTGCAAAACAGTGAACTCTCTCTCTCTTCCCAGTTTATTTGGGCTCCAAGAAAAAAGAAAGACTTTTGGCTGAAACTTAAAAGGGATTTTCCAGTAGACATGATGAATTAGTCTTACTGGATAGAAAAAGAGGCTGAGGAATGAAACTCTCTTTTTGCCTTGGAGAGAAGCCAGTGAGCCATTTGGGTTTGGTGGCCAAGGATATTGTTACTGAGGCAGGGAGATATCCCCTGGTGGGAGTAGATTACATTATATGAAACATCAAAATGCAAAGTGTGAAGAAATGCCGCCAAGCCTTGGGGTTATCGCTGGTGGATGGTTTCTCCTGGACCCTGGGGACGCTTGGTACGGCTGACAAGATTCCTGGGCAGATCTAGGAATCCCAGACTTGAGACCCGGAAGGCCATCTGGTTGAGTCCCCAGCCTGGTGACAGCTGAGCATCTGAGCCTTCAGGCCAGAAAACTGTGTGTGTCCTTGGGGAAGTGACAGAGCCTCTAAACTTCCTGCTGCTGTCAGTTACAGTGTTTTATTATGCGACTGGTCAAAGAGATCTTCATTATGCCCAACTAGAATCTTGCCTGCTCTAGTGTCAACCATAATTACCCTTGCTGAGTTCTCCTTGAACATGAGAACAACATTGCTCCTGGTTTGCAGTTCTGACTTGAAAGTGTTTCCTCCAGTGAGGAGCTGAGAGCCCTTAAGCTTGGAAGAAAAGTGACCACAAGGGAAAAAACACCTGTTCCTACTGTCCCCATGCTGTCTTTCTTAGTAGCACCAGCACCAACACTACTTCTCATAGTGCTTTCATCCTTCCCCTCACTGTGTATGGGGCGGACATGCATTCTCTATGTGGGAATCATGGAATTTTCCTATTGGTAGAGACCAGTCTCCCACCTCTCAGCAGAATTCCTTCCTCTTTCTGAAGACCTCTTGGGAATAGGGGGCTTGCTGCTTCCCAGGGCAGCTGATCTTAGGCCGGGCCATAGTTGACTGTTAGGAAGTTCTTAGATCAAACATAAATTCTCCTTGCCACCGCCTGCCACACCCAAATCACATTTCATCACTGTTTGTTGCCTTTTGAATCAGCAGAGCATTTTCAGCTTTCTTTGCTACTCACAGCACCCTTGAATGCTATGAGAGAGTGCTCTTAGGGATTTGGAGCAAACATCAAGGGAATGAATCCCAATCTCACTTGTATGACATCTAGCCTTGTGCCTCACGTAAATGAGGTCATTTACTTAAAATCTCTGCCCTTAGTTTTCTCATCTATAACATGGGAATAGACCAGATTTCATAAGTTCTTTCCAACTCTAAAATCTCATGATGTTATGACCCTTGAGTCTCCAGGTCACTAATGCTGATCTGTATGATGTTAGAGGTCTGCTAGACAATGAGCCGTGAGGACTGTGACTTTCTGTCCTCTGCTTCTGCTTCCTCCTTTAGCCTTCTTTGTCCACAGGTAGCTCTTTTGCCCTTTCTTTCTTTCTTTCTTTCTTTCTTTCTTTCTTTCTTTCTTTTCTTTTCTTTTCTTTTCTTTTCTTTTCTTTCTTTTTTTTCGGAGACAAGGTCTTGCTCTGTCACCCAGGCTGGAGTGCAGTGTATGATCGTGGTTCACTGCAGTCTCAACCTCCCAGGTTCAAGCAATCCTCCCACCTCAGCCTCCTGAGTATAGCTGGAACTGCAGACACATACCACCCAACCTGGCTAACTTTGAAACAAATTTTTGTAGAGACAAGGTCTCACTGTGTTGCCCAGACTGGTCTCGAACTGGTCTAGGCTCAAGTGATTCTCCCGCATTGGCTTCCCAAAGTGCTGGGATTACAGGCGTGAGCCATCGCACCTGGCCTTTTGCCCTTTCTTATGTGTCATAGTTCCCAGACCAACTCACCCTGCTGCTCCTTCTGAGACAGTTCCTAGTCTGTCATTAGTCATTCGCAAGCACATGTGAGACACAATGTTCTAAATCCTGCCTGAGCGGTTTAGAACACAGACTGCTACTTCCCAAGACCTGGACCTGATTTCCCGTTATTGCAGCTGAATGCTGTGTGCTTAAGGGTTCCCTTTTTTGTACCGTGGCCACATCATATCGTACTTTTCATAGTAACCAGAAGGTCACACGAAAACTGCTTCCAGGCCAGGAATCAACAGCTCAAATGTGGACAGTCAGCGTTTTGGCCCGAAATATAAAGAACTTAACATTTCTCTCGCATTGCATATTGATGGTTGGTCCTCTATCCCCAATCCCATCTTGGTGTCTCCCCTGGCCCCGACATCCCCCAAGGCCTGACCCCTGCCCAGGCCTTAACATGGGAAGAGCCTCAAAAGCTCCCTTTTCCAGGGGCCGCTCCTCTTGGCTAGAGGGTTGTTCCTGTGCTCCGCTTGGCAGACTCTTTCCTCTGGGGCCAAGTCCTTTTCTCCATCAACCAAATCAATATCTTACTGAGGAGTTTGTACAGAAGCAGGGTGGTAGGGTAGTGGTGGTGGTAAAATGTTGGAGGGCTTCAGGGGGATTAACCATTTTTGGCCACTGAATGTAGACGAAGAAGCAAAAGAAGGGGATGGGGAAGGTTTTCAAGGGCCTGTGTGGAGGACTAAATGACACTTCCTTTGACTACAGGACATTCCTTTAGCAGCCATGGTAACTTCTGCCTGAAGGTCCAGATGTCCCCACCTTGCAGGGATTCCCTGCTTTGAGATCCTCCTTCTAAATTTGTGACTGCAGGCCTCCCCCTGCTGGTTGTTGGGTCTGAAGTTAGCAGTTGACCAAGTCAAAGGCAGGATTTTTCAGGGAGACTTTAAGGAGACAGCAAGAATCAGTTGGAGGATCACAGCAGATGGGAAAGGAGGGTCAGAGAGAGTGGCCAGCCCAGAAGAAAACAGTGGGCATTTAAGGAAATTCTAGGACAATCGTCCTGTTTCTTGACAGCCTGGAACTGGACTCTCATTGGGGCAGAAAAAACCGGGATGGATTCAGCAGGAAACAGCAGTCGGTTTCTTGCAGACCCCACTTTGCATGCCTTATTCGCATGTTGATTCCCAATTGGAAAATAATTCAAATTTAGAGGCCTGAGCTTCACCTGAGTGAAGACATGTGAGTGTTTGGTACTGGAGACCTGGCTGCAGTCCAGAGCCATCCCTGCCTGCTGCTGGCTCTTGCGGGCAGCTTCTTCCCTCCCCAGTCCTGGGTTCAGAACCTTCTGTCTGTCTGTCCATCCTGCCTCTGTCCCAGGCCATTCACAGACTCCTGGCTGCCTCTCTTGCAGGAGCCTGGGACTCATCCTGGACTCGTGGGTGCTGTTTTGTGTTTCTCTTCCCAAGTTGTCAAAGAAGATTGTTCTGCCTGATGCCTGCATAGTGTTTTCAGAGTAGGGATGACAAAAGGTTTCGAATTTCTTGTTAAAGACTCCTAGTGCCTGGGGTTCTTGCTGCCTCCCTGGTTCCTTTCCTGGCCTTTCCCTTCTCTCCCACATGGCAATGTCAGTTACACACCTGTGTCCATCTGTATCACTTCCCTTGAAGTCTTCCGACAGGTCAACTGTGCTTGACAAGAACAGAGTGGGAGAGAGGCTACCCATAAGAGCCTTGCCTGTGGTTTGTTTCATTATTCTTCTTCTTGAACCTTCTTGATCCTTCTCCACTCCACTCCCTCCTCCT